GAACTTAACAGACAAATCCTCTGCCGCCACCGCTGTGCACCTCCAAATGTCTTCCCGCCACAGTATGTGTTGGCGCTATAAATATTGGATAAATATCCCCTTCGTCTCGCATGCCCCTCACCTGGGAGGAATGAAGTCTCTCTCTGTGATTTGGGGTAATGTGATATTTCCTGACATTCCATTAGCGGCGTGTAGAAGAAGTATAATTATAAATCATCATCACCGCCACCTTTCTGGTATCCTCCCCCCTTTAAAGCGGACCCAGGATCAGGCAACGTACAACCAGAACACTTCCAGGTATTTATTAATATCTTAAGAACACCCCTCCCTTGCCAACAATGCCTTCATCTACTTCCCTACTCCAGAAGGACGGCACCATCTTTGCTCAGGCATCATCCAGGGTCACCATCTACTTCCTGGACTGAGATGCCGGATCAGAGACGACACAATCAACGAAATACTGGTTCTTGTGCAGTTCTTGGCTGTGTTCCCAAATGGAGGGGGGGGAGGGGGAGGGGGACTGAGGAAATGCTTCCTCCTGCCGGCAGCAGACTGATCACGGGGGGAGGGGAGACGGAGGAAATGCTTCCTCCTGCCGGCAGCCGACTGATCACTGGGGGAGGGGAGACTGAGGAAATGCTTCCGCCTGCCTGCAGCAGACTAAGCACTGGGGGAGGGGAGACTGAGGAAATGCTTCCGCCTGCCTGCAGCAGACTAAGCACTGGGGGAGGGGAGACTGAGGAAATGCTTCCGCCTGCCTGCAGCAGACTAAGCACTGGGGGAGGGGAGACTGAGGAAATGCTTCCGCCTGCCTGCAGCAGACTAAGCACTGGGGGAGGGGAGACTGAGGAAATGCTTCCGCCTGCCTGCAGCAGACTAAGCACTGGGGGAGGGGAGACTGAGGAAATGCTTCCGCCTGCCTGCAGCAGACTAAGCACTGGGGGAGGGGAGACTGAGGAAATGCTTCCGCCTGCCTGCAGCAGACTAAGCACTGGGGGAGGGGAGACTGAGGAAATGCTTCCGCCTGCCTGCAGCAGACTAAGCACTGGGGGAGGGGAGACTGAGGAAATGCTTCCGCCTGCCTGCAGCAGACTAAGCACTGGGGGAGGGGAGACTGAGGAAATGCTTCCGCCTGCCTGCAGCAGACTAAGCACTGGGGGAGGGGAGACTGAGGAAATGCTTCCGCCTGCCTGCAGCAGACTAAGCACTGGGGGAGGGGAGACTGAGGAAATGCTTCCGCCTGCCTGCAGCAGACTGATCACTGGGGGAGGGGAGACTGAGGAAATGGTGTATATAATGCTGTATAGTGACACGTCACAAGGCAGACAGCTAAATACACGGAGGAAATACAGATATGGCCGCTGCCAAAAGATTTGCACTTCTTCCCATCCAGTCCTGAGATTTACACACCTCTGCCACACAGCACAGCCAGTCTGGTGACCGGTCTTATCTGTACTGCAGTTGAGCAACACAGCTTGGTCACCTCCCTGCACCTGTAAAGTCATCACCGAGGCTGATTGTTGTCTCCAGCCCCCCTAGGAAGGTCCCCGCGAGTCACTTCCGCCAGACGGAGGCCATGAAGCCAAGGCGATTGTCATTGCTCTGCTCCATCATGAGCGGCGCTGTTATTCAGCGGAATGCGTGGGATAAAAAGGGTGAAGACGCACCGAGGGCTGAATCATCAAAATTAGAAAATTAAAGGAGAAGTATGAGGTGAGTGCTTTTCACTCACCTCATAGTTCTAGCCGACCTGTGACAATGAGACTGTCGCAGGTCGGCTCAGTAGATCGGGAGGTGAGCGAACACATACCGGCGTTCGCTCACTTCTCGATCCTGTCACGGCTCTCTGCCATGACAGGGGAGGGGCTGGATTCCCCCCTCTCCGCTCCGCCAGTGATGACTGGCGGAATGGACGGGGGCGGGTACAGCTGACTCTGCCTCTAGATAGGCAGAGCCAGCTGTCACTCACGCAGCTGGGCGGATCTTGACATCGATGTCGGGATCTGTTCTGGCTGCGGAGTCTCAGTATACCGCGAGCCGTAGCTCTCTATATACTGAGCTTAGGGTGACGGGAGGACGCTAGTTTGTGTCCTCCCGTTACCCTAAGGAGAACTATGGGGAAAAGCCCTGACCCCATAGTTCTCCTGTAAAGTGGAGCTGTTGTCAGTAGCAACCAATCAAGCTTAACCTTTCCTTATTCTAATTGGTCGCCATGGACGGCAACTTTACTTCACTTCCTTTCTCCAGGTTTCATTGAGTGAGTCGGTACCCCTGTGACCCAAAGTCAGCAGAACTGCCTAAGGGACAGCTCAATCTGCCTCTCAAGAGCCAGAGCCAGCTGTGCCCGCCCCCTTCCCTGTCTCTCCCTCCAATGAGAGCGCTGGAGGAACCGAGATTTGCATTTCATTTGCATGATTCCCCTCAGTCCGCTGTGTAAACCCTGCGAAGTTCTTCTGTAAAGGAAACGCATGGACTCACCATGAAGAAGATAAGAGAATCTTTATCACAACCCCATGTCCGAAACGATTCTTCTTCCACGCCAGCCGCAGCTTCCGGACCGTCTCCCGAAAAACTGCGAACGAGACAATAAAAATTCCGTCACTTATTTAGAACGGTGCAGTGATGTCATCAATCCGTCAAAATGTCTACAGTTGCCAGTACTCCTATTTTCTGCACAGCCCCGAATCTGAGCCAATTCAAATGCAGGTCAGAGCGTTCCCTCATTCAGAGCCCCGCCCACTAATTGAGCTCGATATAGCCCCGCCCACTCACAACGCAGCATCGGAGGATGCACATGTGGCAAGAGGCTACAGTCAAATGTTTACAGTTGCCAGTACTCCTATTTTCTGCACAGCCCCGGATCTGAGCCAATTCAAATGCAGGGCAGAGCGTTCCCTCATTCAGAGCCCCGCCCACTAATTGAGCTCGATATAGCCCCGCCCACTCACAACGCAGCATCGGAGGATGCACATGTGGCAAGAGGCTACAGTCAAATGTCTACAGTTGCCAGTACTCCTATTATCTGCACGGCCCCCGGATCTGAGCCAATTCAAATGCAGGGCAGAGCGTTTCCTCATTCAGAGCCCCGCCCACTAATTGAGCTCGATATAGCCCCGCCCACTCACAACGCAGCATCGGAGGATGCACATGTGGCAAGAGGCCGTGATGATATAAAATGCAGATCAAAGTGTATGTAAAGCCGAAGCTATTATTTCATCATCTTGGATTGAATAAGGAAAAGGTAAAACTCTGTGATTTTTTTTCCCTTCCTTTTTATATCCCATTGCAGACATTTCCTGTCTCATTGACGCAACAGGAAGTGAGAAGAAATCTCTCCAAAGTGAAGGAAGTTGTCCAAAGTAACAATTGTCACTGTAACAAGTTTTCTCCTTTGAAGACTCTATTCCTGTTCTTAATCCTCCTGTCCCATCGCACTCCTGACCGGAAAAAGCCCGAATGCAGCCGGGCGGGTGAGGTGGTGACAACGGATGCCTCCGCAAAGTATAGATAGATGAAAATAGTCACTCGCACTCCAAAATAGTAAAGTCAATAATGTTTAGAAGCGGTTCACACCTGGGCGTGTGGTAGCGCGTTCCTGCGCTCTGCGAAACGCTCAAACACCGAAATCCCATTATTTCCTATGTGTATGGTTCACACCTGGGCGTATTACAGGCCGTATGAAGGCGCTACAAAACGTCCTACGCCCAAAGAAGTACAGGAGCTGCTTTGGGGCGTTTTTGTTGCGCGTTTCCATTGGGATACAGCCAAGTAGCAATCGGAAACGCGCGTTTGTCGCGTGTTTTTTTACGCCACTGAACGCGCGACAAACGCGCATATTCGATACGCCTAGGTGTTAACCCAGCCGAATAGAGAGATGAAAGTAGTCACTCGCAGCACTCCAACAATAGTAAAGTCAATCAGTGTTTATTGACTATGATGATGCACATCTCCTAAGCAACGTTTCGGGACCGTGCGGCCCCTTCCTCAGGCAAACTCTCTGTTTGCCTGAGGAAGGGGGCCGCACACCTCTACTACTGTAAGGTCGCATGACTTTTAACTTACGGACATGTTCGAAAACCCGCCGAGCGTCGTACGACGTTCGGCGGGTGTGTAGCATGTTCGTACGATAAAAGCCGTACGGGCCGGTGTGCGCAAGCGCACACTGCCCGTTCGGCATTGCGGTCATCGGAAGCCCGCCCCTCAGGGGGGCGTGGCTTGCGATCATCGCAAGTACGATCTGCCTATACAAGATGGGCAGATCGTACGTTCTTTGAAGTACCTTACAACCATCGCAAGACAAAAGTCTTGCGATGGTTGTAAGGTGTGTGCCCAGCCTTACAAGGATGAAGAGTGCGGGTGGAACACATACAGCATTTCAAGCCTTAAATAGGCTGCCACGCCATTCCTACTCCATCCAAAAATAAATATATAATTAAATAATAATCATCATCATTAATATTATTATTATTATTTGTACAGTATATATATATTTACTTTGTATTATTATTGTTATATGCAAGGCCAGGATACCAGGATATCGGTCAGGCAAATGAACTGTTTTATGTCGAGGGGATGCTGGTTGTGTTTGGAGGAAGGACGGAGGATTTTATTAACCTTACATGAGTTCAGCTGGAAGGATCAATTCTAAAGCCAAAATGTTTCTCTCTTAAAGGATGCAGCTGCATGTATGTTACATGAGCATTAGTGTGTAGACTGCATAGAGATTGGATACGTATTGCAATCATTTACGTCCAGGAGCCAGGAGGATATATTTTATGTTGCTGGGAATAACTGTATGTTTGATGCTCTATCTATCTATCTATCTATCTATCTATCTATCTATCTATCTATCTATCTATCTATCTATCTATCTATCTATCTATCTATCTATCTAACTATCTATCTATCCATCTATCTAATATATACCTGTCACATTCTGTCTTTTTTTCTCTATACCTATTGAATGGCTATAATCTATCTACAGTATCTGTCTTTGTATCCTTCTTCTTCCCTCTCTCTCTCCTTAACTCATCTCTTTATTCTCATAACACATATTACCTGTCTTATCTTTCGCTCTACCTATTATATGTCTGTCTATCTACCTACCTGTCTACAGCTCTCTCCTGATATATGTCTGTCTATCTACCTGACCTCATCTCTATCTTCTTTGTATTTATCAAATGATACTGTATCTATCCTGCTTTCTTCTTACCTATCATACACATGACTATCTTCTCTCTTTTTAATCTTTCTCTAATATAGATAATTCTCTCTCCCTCTCATTTATATAATGCTTCATCTCTCTCCAACTGTCTCTCTCTCTCTCTCTCTCTCTCTCTCTCTCTCGCTCTAATCTATATAATCCTTCATATCTCTCTATCTCTCTCTCTAATCTACCGGTATATAATCCTTCCTATCTCTCTCTATATAATCCTTCCTATCTCTCTATCTCTACACTCTACACTCTATATACCAATCTATATATACTACTCTATATACTCTACCGGTATATAGTCCCTACTATCTCTCTCTATAGAATCCTTCCTATCTCTCTATATAATCCTTCCTATCTCTCTGTCTAATCTATATAATCATTCCTATCTCTCTCTCTCTCTCTAATCTATATAATCCGTCCTATCTCTCTCTCTCTGATCAATATAATCCTTCCTAGCTCTCGCTCTCTAATCTATATAATCCTCCCTCCCTCTCTCTCTCTCTCTCTCTCTCATATACCTGTCACATTCTGTCTTTTTTTCTCTATACCTATTGCATGGCTATCTATCTATCTATCTATCTATCTATCTATCTATCTATCTATCTATCTATCTATCTATCTATCTATCTATCTACTTTTTTCTGCATGCCAATGTGTCTCTCTTTCTCGAGATCAGAGATAAGTAAAAGGGATTTTAGGGCATTTTTTTTCAAACCCCCAAAAGTCATTTAAACATTTTTCACGGGCAGTTTGTGGGGATCATTTTTGTACAAGAAAGTCCATGGACCCATCGCACTCCTGACCGCCAAATCACTTTGAAAAGCGGGTGCTGCGGTAGTTAACGGGTGGCATCCGTTATAATCACAAGTAAAGATAAAGACACCGGCACTCCAAATTCATGAGCAAACGTCTATTTATTGACGTGCAGCATAGTAAACAGCAACGAACGTTTCGGGGTCACAGAGGAACCCTTCCTCAGGAAAAAGCATTTTTGTACAAGGACGTCCCCTTTAAACATTTGATTGCGGTGCAAAACGCGTCCCTCCGCCCTCTGTACCACCCGTGGTCACCTATACCACCCATTACTATCGTGCTACTGAATAGGGACTTTGCAGAGTGCCACGGGCACCACATCCGGCCTTGCTCGCATACTCTCCGCTTCTCTTGAGATGACGGTGGATCTGTGCATGACATAACCCGGGTATTTTTATCAGCAAGTAGGTAAATAGAAGATGGTGTGTGTTCCGAGCGGCAGCGGCGGTGGCATCGAATGATGAGAGCATTCTCTGCCTACACGTCATGTGTGGGAGCTGAGTTAGTCATCTAATGGCCATGTGTGATTGACAGAGCGAATTTAGTCGTTCTTGTCAGCCGGGAAGACAGTCCCCAATTTAGTGTGTTTTACATACACAGCGTATAATCAGCAGCTTGCGCTGCCTCCTTCCCGGGGTTCATGATGTCTTTTGCAGCCTTCTGTCACAAGGGCCTGTGCTTGGCAGGCTCGAACATTGTTTTTGGCTACAAGACAGAAGATGGCTAAACTGCTGATATATTTTCAGCGTGGAAACATCTGTACTACGGGGCGAGGGAAAGCAAGCAATAGCAAAGTCTAAGAATCCCTCCTGTATATGAAAGCACACTGAGCATCGGGTATATTTTTCCAAGTCATGTTCAGCATGCCAAGTAATATGTCAATGTAACACTTCCAGGTACGGGGAGGTGACCAAGCTGTGCTATTTAACTGCAGCAGAGAAAAGTCAGGTCACCAGGCTGGCTGTGCTATGGGATGCAGCTGTGTAACACTCTGGGCTGGATGGACAGAACTAGAAATCCTATACCTGCTTGCCTGGAATTCAGCTTTAAAGTAAACCTGTCATCTTACCGAAGGCAATAAAGCTAGTGACATCAATAACCTGCAGGCACCTGTAACTTCAACCGTATTCACGAGAACTTCACAAACTGGACAGCTCCATTATGCAAAAGTTGACTTTCGATGCAACAGTGAAGAGCTAGGTTTCCCCCTCCCAACCACTTCCCTTACTATTGGTCCATTACTGTGATAAACAGCCTCATTGACCAATCCTGCATTATGCAAACTTTGACTTTTGATGCAAAAGTCAAGAGCTAGGTTTCCCCCTCCCACCCACTCATCTCACCGTTGACCCATTACTGTGATAAGCAGCCTCACCGGCCTATCGTGATATCTGGAGGACAGAAGCACTGTCCATGGTGATAACAGTCAGATTAGAGTGAAGACCTACAGCAGACATTATGATCTTTGTAGGGATGCCCTGTGCGTGTGTAGTAATGGCCACCAAGTGGGAGTGACTATGACCACCA